GGGGTGCAGGAGTCCGACCTCCGCCTGTTCCTGGACAGAGACATCCTCCGCCAGGACAGAGTCTCCAAAGGCTGCTACTCCTTCATCCACCTCAGCTTCCAGCAGTTTCTCACTGCGCTGTTCTACGCCCTGGAGAAGGAGGAGGAGGAGGATAGGGACGGCCATGCCTGGGACATTGGGGACGTGCAGAAGCTGCTTTCCGAAGAAGAAAGACTCAAGAACCCCGACCTGATCCAAGTAGGGCACTTCTTGTTCGGTCTGGCTAATGAGAAGAGAGTCAAGGAGTTGGAGGCCACCTTTGGCTGCCGGATGTCACCGGAGATCAAACAGGAATTGCTGCGATGCAAAGCCAATCTTCATGCCAATAAGCCTTTATCCATGACAGACCTGAAGGAGGTCTTGTGCTGCCTGTACGAGTCTCAGGAGGAGGAGCTGGCGAAGGTGGTGGTGGCCCCGCTCAAGAAGATTTCTATTAACTTGACAAATACTTCTGAAATGATGCACTGTTCCTTCAGCCTGAAGCAGTGTCGAGACCTGGAGAAAGTCTCACTGCAGGTGGCAAAGGGGGTGTTCCTGGAGAATTATGTGGATTTCGAACCAGACATTGAATTTGAGAGGTAAGGACTGTGTTCCCATCCCACGCTCCACTAGGAAGAGGCCGGCGTCTCCTGTGCCCTGTGGCTGACGGTCACAATTTCCCTCTGGCTGGACTTTCTTCCAGCTTCACAGTTCAATACGGAGGTGCGATTTGGCAATTAGGAATTGGGGCTTTTTTTTTTTGTGGACAGAGTTTTGCTCTTGTTACCCAGGCTGGAGTGCAATGGCTCACTGCAACCTCTGCCTCCTAGGTTCAGGCGATTCTCCTGCCTCAGCCTCTCCGGTAGCTTGGACTACAGCCGCCTGCCACCATGCCCAGCTAATTTTTGTAGTTTTAGTAGAGACGGGGTTTCATCACATTGGCCAGGCTGGTCTTGAAACCCTGACCTCAGATGATCTGCCCGCCTCGGCTTCCCAAAGTGCTGGAATTACAGACCTGAGCCACTATACCCGGCCTGTCTGCACTGTTTGGTCTGCTGCACCACCTCCTTCCCCCTCACCTGTCTTCACTCACTCAGCCCGGCTAGGAATTGAGGCTTAAAAGACAGACTTTTAAGTGTTTAGTTTTCAGGTGGGAATGGTGCTGAATATCCCCAAACACTTGAGCCGTTTCATATATAACAATGGCAGGGAGGTAATTATTTTTTTTTTTGAGACGGAGTCTTGCTCTGTCACCCAGGCTGGAGTGCAGTGGTGCAATCTCTGCTCACTGCAAGCTCTCTCGCGAGTAGCTGGGACTACAGGCGCCCGTCACCACGCCTGGCTAATTTTCTTGTATTTTTACTAGAGACGGGGTTTCACTGTGTTAGCCAGGATGGTCTCGATCTCCTGACCTTGTGATCTGCCCACCTCGGCCTCCCAAAGTGCTGGGAGGCCAAGGAGGGTGTGAGCCACCACACCTGGCTATTTTATTTTTTTGTAAAACTTAAGATCTATACTCCTAGCAAAGTATGTGATTCAATATTGCTTACTGTAGACACTGTTTTAGGTTGGTGCAAAAGTAATTGTGGTTTTTGCTATTGAAATGTGGTTTGCAGACACCCGTCCCCCGACGCAGGTACTAGGCATAGGAGATGAACGTGTGTTCTCCCGCAGGTGCAGCTACGTAACCCTTCCCAGCTGGGCTCAGCAGGATCTTCGCTCTCTTCGCCTCTGGACGGATTTCTGCTCTCTCTTCAGCTCAAACAGCAATCTGAAGTTTCTAGAAGTGAAACAAAGCTTCCTGAGCGACTCTTCTGTGCGGATTCTTTGTGACCACATAACCCGTAGCACCTGTCATCTGCAGAAAGTGGAGTAAGCAGAAACTCATCTTGCAAGGGAGACCCTGAACCATGACTCAGCTTCTTGCACTTTTTTTTTTTAAATTTAGAAATGTGTTGTTTCATCTCCATGGATTTGGGGATTTTCCAGCTATGTTTTTTTCTTTTCTTTTCTTTTTTTTTTTTTGAGACAGAATTTCACTCTGTCACCCACGCTGGAGTGCAGTGGTTCAATCTTGTGTTTTTAGTAGAGGTGGAATTTCTCCATGTTGGCCAGGCTGGTCTCAAACTTCTGACCTAAGGTGATGCACCCGCCTTGGCCTTCAAAAGTGCTGGGATTACAGGCATGAACCACCATGCCTGGCCCAGCTATCTGTTTTTTTGTTGTTGTTTGTTACCAAAGCAAACCAAAAAGTAGGTACAAGTGCAGGTTAGTTACACAGGTAAACGTGTGTCATGGGCGTTTGTTGTACAGATTTTATCACCCAGGTATTGAGCCTAGTATCCATTAGTTGTTTGTCCTGATCCTCTGCTTCTTGAGTGTTTTTTTCTTTAGACGGAGTCGTGCTGTGTCGCCCAGGCTGGAGTGTAGTGGCGTGATCTCGGCTCACTGCAACCTCCACCTCCTGGGTTCCCGCCATTCTCCTGCTTCAGTCTCCCGAGTAGCTGGGACTACAAGTACCCACCATAATACCCGGCTAATTTTTTGTATTTTTAGTAGAGACGGGGCTTCACCATGTTGGTCAGGCTGGCCTCGAACTCCTGACCTCAGGTGACCTGCCTGTCTCGGCCCCCGCTAATTTTTGTATTTTTGTTGTTGTTGAGATGGAGTCTCGCTTTGTCGCCCAGGCTGGAGTGCAGTGGCGCAATCTCGGCTCGCTGGAACCTCCACCTCCCAGGTTCATGCCATTCTCCTGCCTCAGCCTCCCGAGTAGCTGGGACTACAGGCGCCCATCACCACGCCCGGCTAATTTTTTGTATTTTTAGTAGAGACGGGGTTTCACTGTGTTAGCCAGGATGGTCTCGATCTCTGACCTCGTGATCCGCCCGCCTCGGCCTCCCAAAGTGCTGGGATTACAGACGTGAGCCACTGCGCTCGGCCTTTTTGTATTTTTGTAGAGTTGGGGTTTCACTATGTTGCCCAGACTGGTCTCAAACTCCTGACCTCAAGTGATTCTCTTGCCTCGGACTCCCAAAGTGCTGGGATTATAGATGTGAGCTACTGCGCCTGGCCTTCATTTTTGTATTTTTTGTAGAGATGGAGTTTCAACATGTTGCCCAGGCTGGTCTCGAACTCCTGACCTCGGGTGATCCTCCTGCCTCGGCCTCCCAAAGTGCTGGGATTACAGACACGAGCCGCCGTGCCTGGCCAAGAACTTCTAATAGTTTCTAAATGTGGAGCAGCTTTTTGTTTATACATGTCTCTACACAATGTGAGGATTGCTCGCTCAAAGTGGAATCTCTTCTGCTTTTCCCTAGGATTAAAAACGTCAGCCCTGACACTGCTTACCGGGACTTCTGTCTTGCTTTCATTGGGAAGAGGACCCTCACGCACCTGACCCTGGAAGGGCACATCGAGTGGGAACGCACGATGTTGCTGCTGCTGTGTGATCTGCTCAGAAATCACAAATGCAACCTGCAGTACCTGAGGTGGGTCTCACGGTCTCCTCTCTCCCCAGTACCCAGAGTCCGCTGCGCCGCGTTGCCCGGGGATCTAGGGAAAAGGGTAACCACTTTGGATGCCGTCCCAGACGGGGAATGTATTCCTCAAACAGGCCTGTGTGGGGAGTCAGCCTCTCCTCTTTCCCCCGCCAGCTTGGCTTCTGCGTCGCATAACCAGCTCTCGATGCAAAGAAACCCCCCGAATTCTGTGCTGTGTTCCAGCTTTAGGGACGTGCTATTCCTGACTGCAGCTTGCCTACATGTTGGGATGGAGAGCAGCGGCCCCCAGCCTTTTCTGCAATGGGGGCCGATTTTGTGCGAGAGAATTATTCCATAGACAGAGGTTCGGGGGTAGTTTTGGGATGAAACTGTTCAATCTGAGATCATCGGGCACTGAAGCTAATTGTTGGTGCCTGATCCCTATGCAGTGCTATGATCCCAGCACTTTGGGAGTCTGAGGTGAATGGATCATCAATCTCAGATCATCAGGAGTTAGGTACTCACATGGAGCATGCAACCTTCTCTGCACTCCTATGAGAATCTTTTTTTTTTTTTTTGAGGGGGGAGAGAATTTTACTCTTGTCACCAAGGCTGGAGTGCAGTGTTGCAATCTCGGCTCACAGCAACCTATGCCTCCTGGATTCAAGCGATTCTCCTGCCTCAGCCTCCCGAGTAGCTGGGATTACAGGCATGCACCACCATGCCCAACAAATGTTTGTATTTTTAGTAGAGACGGGGTTTCACCACGTTGGCCAGGCTGGTCTTGAACTTCTGACCTCAAGTGATCCACCTGCCTCGGCCTCCCAAAGTGCTAGGATTGCAGGCATGAGCCACTGCACCTGGCCAGGATAAAATTTTTATTTTGAGAATTAAGCATCAATTTGCCCCTTCTAGTCCCAGCTACACTGGAGGCTGAGGTTGGGAGGATCATTTGAGCCCAGGAGACAGAGGTTGTGGTGAGCTGTGATCATGCCACTGCCCTCCAGCTTGGGCAACAGAGCGAGATCCTGTCTCAAAAAAAATTTTTTTCCTCCCTACAAAATCATCCACACAGGCCATTTTGGTGAAACATTGCACAGAATTGTATTACAGTCTCTTGGAGATGTGGCTGGATGTTACTCTAATGGCCATTGGGGATACTTGAAAGAGCAGAGGAAAGATTAGATCTCTCCAATAATTCAGGCCAGGGTTGGAGACATGAGTAGAATGAGATAAACGTTTTGGGAAGTGAAGCAGAAGAAGCTAATCTGAGCCGGGCGTGGTGGCTCACACCTGTAATCCCAGCACTTTGAGAGGCCGAGGTGGGTGGATTACCTGAGGTCGGGAGTTCAAGACCAGCATGGTCAACGTGGTGAAATCCTATCTCTACTAAAAATACAAAAATTGGTGTGTGCCTGTAATCCCAGCTGCTTGGGAGGCTGAGGCAGGAGAATTGCTTGAACCCGGGAGGTGGAGGCTGCAGTGAGGTGAGATCACGCCATTGCACTCCAGCCTGGGTGACAGAGTGAAACTGTCCCAAAAAAAAAAAAAAGCTGATAGGTTATACTCTGTCCTCCTAGAAGAATGACTTTTCCCACGCTTTTCACAGGTTGGGAGGTCACTGTGCCACCTCGGAGCAGTGGGTTGATTTCTTCTATGTCCTCAAAGCCAACCAGTCCCTGAGGCACCTGCACCTCTCAGCCAGTGTGCTCCTGGACGAGGGTGCCAAGTTGCTGTACAAGACCATGACACACCCAAAACACTTCCTACAGATGTTGTCGTAAGTCTCCTCTTCCCACGGGCAGCTCCAGTTTAGCTCTGGGGCCATAGAAGAGAAAGGGTAACACCTGACTTGCTGGGCCACCCACGTGGCACCTCTCGCTGACATAAACACCTGCTTCAGGCTGGGCATGGTGGCTCTGCCTGTAATCTCAGCACTCTGGGAGGCTGAGGTGGGCGGATCATCTGAGTTCAGGAGTTCGAGACCAACCTGGCCAACATGGCGAAACCCCGTCTCTATTAAAAATACAAAAAAAACAGGGTGGGTGTGGTGGCTCACGCCTGTAATCCCAGCACTTTGGGAGACCAAGGCGGGCGGATCACGAGGTCAAGAGATCGAGACCATCCTGGCTAACATGGTGAAACCCCATCTCTACTAAAAAATACAAAAAATTAGCCGGGTGCGGTGGCGGGCGCCTGTAGTCCCAGCTACTAGGGAGACTAAGGCAGGAGAATGGTGTGAACCCGGGAGGCAGAGCTTGGCAGTGAGCCGAGAGAGCGCCAATGTACTCCAGCCTGGGCGACAGAGTGAGACTCTGTCTCAAAACAAAACAAAACAGCAAAAAAAACCAGCCAGACGTGATGGTGCACATCTGTAATCCCAGCTACTCAGGAGGCTGAGCCAGGAGAATTGCCTGAAACTGGGAGGTGGAAGTTGCAGTGAGTTGAGATCGTGCCATTGCCCTCCAGCCTAGGTGACAGAGCGAGAGACTCCATCTCAAAAACAA